GCCATGTTATCTGTCATGCAGACCAATACAAGGACACATCCTGTTTTAGAAACAAAAATGTTGATATGAACCTCTTTAATATATGCTGCCTTGTAGATGAAATTCTTGATACAGATCTACAAATCAAAAGTTTAAATGATTGTTCATTCATGAATTTTAATTATATACTGTGTTTTCAATAAAACTGCATGAATGAACCATTCTTAGGTCCAGACACATACTATGGCTGAATTAGATGTCATTTGGAGGTTTTTTTAACATGGAGATGGTTTACAGGGGAACTGGTTCTGACAGAATAGTGGTACATGTGAAAAAACTCTGACACTGAATAGTTTGCAGTTGTCAGTAAATTACTTCATATATCATAGCAGTCTCCCCATAGCTACAGGAAATACATTCTAAAGTCTGAGTGGATGCCTGAAGCCTCAGCAATTATAGATAGAAATGAAGATAGATAATAGGCAGATGATAGGTAGGTAGATGATAGATAAATGATAGATAGATATAGACAGATGATAGATGATATATAAATGACAGATGATAGATAGATCAATGAGATAGATAGATAGATAGATAGATAGATAGATAGATAGATGGTAGATAGACAGGTAGATGATAGATGATAGATGACAGATAGATGATAGGGATGTGGACATAGATGATATGTGTCTAGATGATGCAGTTTTGTCATATACTACATACTTATGATAAAACAATTTACAAGTTGGGCATTGTAAGAGATTAACAACTTCCAATAAAGAAGTTTAACAGTACACTATAGTAAAGTTTATATGAGTATGATCTTCCTCTTCCCTCCCACAAAACAACTATGATATTGCACTCACCTTTCTTCAGTAATAACATGGATGTTATAATGCTTCTGTGATGAGATGGCATGAATGATGTAAGCCTTAAGACTCTCAGTCTGCCTGAGTTGTCCTGGATCACTGAGCCACAGCCAATATCTACTGTATGTCAGGCACAGATAATTTGATGGCTTGGATCTCACTGCAGTCACAAGTTGTTGTTTCTCATATGTGTGCATACTAGTGTGTGTGTGTATGTGTGTGTGTGTGTGTGTGTGTGTGTGTGTGTACATGGTCAGTGTCTGGGGTCTTCCTTAATCACTCTTCACCTCTTGCTAAACCTGGAACTCACCAATACAGCTAGGTGAGTCCCAGGGAACTGCCTGTCTTCACCTTCTCAATGCTCAGATTACAGGCAGGCACTGTGTACCAGACATTCTTATCACATGGATGCTAGGGGATTGGCCTCAGTTCCTCATATGTGTGCACAAGCACTTTATAGACTGTGCCGCCTCCCCAGCACCATCTTTCTTTTTAACTCATCAGAGTGCTGCTCTAGAGGTCCTAATGCTTGGGAGATCACATGGGTGAGTGTTCATGCTGTATTCCATCCAAGGTTCACATTCCAGAATTTCGCCCTTTAATATCTATGCATTTTTTAATATTTATCAATCTTTGGTAGTGCTCATATTTCTGGTTCTGTTTCAGTATCTTCTTCGTCTTTTTCCTCTGCACGTGACACAGCAAATTCTTCCTATTCTCTGTTTAATACTTTTGTATGTTCTTGGACATCTTTGCCAAATCTATCCCCATCCACTTGTGTTTTTGCGTGAGTGATCTTTCTAATTTCTTCATTCATCCCTGGAAGCTCTTAACGTCTTCTCTCAGCAGGCGTTTTCCATTTTAATCCATCTATTGCAGCTCAAATAAATACACTGCATCAGTAAGAGTAACTATCTCCGGCACTGCATTAGGTCCAGATTAGTGGCACCATCAAATGCTGATCAAACATAGTCACATACCAGATGGGTATATGTGGCCTTAAAACAAATGATGCCTGGTCCAGGGTCTATAATACTGAAATTGAATTTAGAGATAAAAGTACTGTCTCAAGGCTTTCATTTTCATGACAAATAGATTCAGGAGAGCCAGGTACATTATTATTAATGAGGATTTCATTTCTGACCCTCCATGTCCAAAGAGACTTCCACCTTTAGCATGAAGCTGGTGGAACCCTTCCATAAATGAAATAGTTGTCATCCATGCTTTCTAATTATAAAGTCAGACCTGGGCAGATAATTTTCAGTTTTGTTTTTCAGAACATGTGGGGTCTTCATTCTCTACTCTGTGTGGTTTGACTATCCACCCTGCAGTGTTTACAGTGCAGCCAGGTTAATGTTCCTCATGCTTTACACCTAGGCACCTTCTTTGCACTTTAAGGAATACAGGCTCTGTTACAGGGCATCTTTTAGAAGAGCCTGATTTCATCCGTTGAGGTCTTGCTTTGGACTTGCTCTTTCTCCTTAATCACTTCATCTCTGACACAATGTGTCAGCAGCCTCTTCATTGGCAAGCATAGCCTTGCCAGTGATTTCCGTGATACTTATCAGTCTAAACTTCTTCCTGAATCTCTGTAATCATCCTTTGCTTTCAATAAAGGGCTTGTTTTCCTTCATTTCAGGGATTCCCATGTTTAAGTCTTTGTGAAGACTTAAGAGTTTTCTGACATAGCAAAGCATTTTCAATTGAAACATATTTTCTGTTCATTTCTTCCACCCACAAATTTAGTAACTTTTTCATCTTAATTGAACACCTAACACACACCATGACCATAATGCTTGTAACTTCAGATGTGACAAAAAAACCCACACATATTTCTTTTTTGTATTCCATTTTCAAGAATAAAACTTTTTATATTTTTTATATTATTTTTATTCTATGTTTGAGTATGTTGCCTGCATGTATGCAAGTACAACCGAGTCATACAATGTCCATGGATGTCAGAAGACAGCATCAGATTCCCCTAGAGCTGGAGTTGCAGACAGTTGTTAGCTGCCATATGGGTCCTAGGAATCGAACCCAGGTCCTCTGCAAGAGCAGCCATTGCTCTCTACCTCTGAGGCATCTCTCTATCACCAACCATAGATCTTAGCAACTTAAGCATTTTTTTTCCTTTCATTGTTAGGCCAATAACTTTGCCATTTTCACTTTAAAGATCACTTTTCATCTTTTCTTTAGCACAATTGAATGACTATAATAATTACTCTTGCGTTTTGAGTATGTCATTAAATAGTAAGGAGAGCTTGAGCACAACACTGTGATATCCTGACAGTAGGTTTGATCATTGAGAGATGACTAATAATGCGACTGATGGGCAGTAGGGAATGTAGTGTGGACAGGCTGGATGGAGGGATGATTCCTGTTCCAAAGAGGAAAAGCAAGATAAGGCAAGATTTCAGTATGCTGCTCAGAACCATAAGAATTTAAAATTTATGGCTTGCTTCTGCAAATGTCAACTTAGTGTTTTCAGACTGCAATTTCCTAAAAGCACCAGAAAGCAAGTCTACAGATAATTGCAAGTGAGGATGGTGACTCTAGTGATCTAGGTTAACTTTTTACTTTTGAAGCAGATTTTCATTAAGCTTCATGGTTGTTCCTTCCAATTCAAACTGTGTTTTCAGTGTTTTCAAAATTATTTATATTGCAAATACTTAAATCATTCTGCCATTTAAATTTTCTTAAATTATGTAATAATATTGGATGCATTCTTATTTTGTGTTTCTCACTATAGACCACTTGCCTCTAGATATGTGCCATTTTCTTGTTATTGACCTCATATCTAAAAACTTGATGCTTTCATATATCATCTTCCTTACACTTCCATCTTCACTTTTAATTTTTTATAACTTTAGCTAAGAAGTGAACACAGTACCATAATTCCAAGCTCCATTGATAAGGATACTAAATATTGACCAGGCTCTTGCATTCCATTCTAAACCAGCTTTGCTTTACTTTAGTAGTAGTTGTCCACATTACAGAAATCACACAAATCTTTAGTTTCTCTATGTCAATGCCACCTTTGGTCCACCCTCCACACTAATGCCAGAAAGAAATACATCCTGGAATAGATATTTCATACACCGATGTTTCTCTACAGCCTCCTCTCAACTGACTCTTTCCTGATACCTACCTATTCTGTAGTTCCATCTCAACAATAAACATTTATATCATATCAAAAATACGTTCATGCTAAAAAAAATAAAAACAGGTCAGTGTTCTCTCCTCCCATCACAAAAGTTGCCCTCTTGTTGCCTGTAAAGATCTTTCTACCCTTTTTTCACAGTCTTTAAGAGTCAATTTTGGCATCACCTCCACACTCTCTAAACACACTGTGAAATACTCCATTCATTTATTCATTGATCACACTGACATCATCTATTCACCTCTCTACTAACTTGTCTACCCATTCATCCACTTGCCAGATGGATGTATGTACCATGTGCCACACTTTGGAATTGTGCTTTGGATACAGGGTAAATGGAAAGGCACCCAGAAAATCACACCTTCTCTCATCAGTGTGCCCTGTGGAACTAGTGCAGTATATATGTGACTCTGTTGCCTGGCAGTTGTTAGCTCTTTTGTGGCACACTTTTTTTTAAAGTTGCTGTGTCTACCATCAAATGGTACCCAGCTGTCACTAGAATGCGTTTGTCAAACAATTTATTATATGTGTGAATAAACTTCTTAAATATTTTTTAATTTCTAAAATTTTGAAGTTATAAACTTAGTTGTTCCAAATTTAGACAAAGATCTAACAAATTTTGTGTTTGCTTTTGCTTTGGGCAGTGGACAGAAAGGCTGACTAAGACCTTGACTCTGGCTCGTGAGACCAGTGCCCAGCACTCTTTCATTTCCTGTTAATTTTTGAAAATCTTTTCCTTGAACCTTCCATTTCTTTGACTCTGAACCACTTTTCCATTTGAATCATTTCCATCTTTTTGATTAAAATCTATTCAGGCTTTTTGTCAAAGATCAAAGCCCAAATTAAATTGCTTATATAAGTGAATTTAACAGATTAATAAATATTATCAAATATCCTTTATAAAACTGAATATAAAGCATACTTAGAAATAGAAATTTCATAAAATGTTTAGGACAATTAAGAGGCAAACCTCTATATTATCTCTCCTCAAGGTAATTTGCCAGCGGACATTCCAGCCACACTAGAAACTTTAGTTTCTGTGACCTTGCCTCCAAACAACTGCACAGACGATGAATTTGTCTGCCTGTCTAATGGGCACTGTGTTGGAAAAATTCAGAAATGTGACTTCAGATACGACTGCCTCGACAAATCAGATGAATCATCCTGTGGTAAGTGAATTCCTAGATCTTGAATTAGAGAGCCAAAATAGATAAGAAAGTGCTAGCTTAATCTGAATGGCATAGGTTGATGTCAGAATTTTCAATGTGGCTTAGGGCCATTAGCTAACTGTTCCACATCCAGGCTACTCTTAACTGCTCATACATTATCAAGTGGGGACCATTTGAGATTAAGGCATTATAATATCTTCAAGTTAGATTAGCTATTTAAAATCACGCCATTGGCAAGAGGCACATATAGCAATGGCTACTACAGCAAATGTATCACCTTCATAAGAAAACCAATTTTAGCAAAGTGAGACATTTATTTCCCATACTCTTATAAAATATGGTTCTCTTTTATGGGCATCTGCTGATTCATAGCTTTTCCTATGTGGACAAGAGAAAATTACTTTAAATCGAGCTTTCTGAGCTGGAGAGATGGCTTAGTGGTGAAGAGCACTGACTGCTCTTACAGATGACCATGGTTTGAATCCCAGCACCTCCATGGGTAGCAACTATCTGTAACCCCAGTTCCAGAGTATATGACACCCTCTTCTGGCCTCCCCGGGCATTGCACAACATGGTTGCACTTACATACATGCAGACAATACACTCATAAAATAAAAATAATAAAGAAAATATTCTTAATTGAACTTTCTAACCAAAGATACACAGAGAAAAACACAATTAAGCTATTTCTTAAAGGTGAAACACCAACTCAAAAAGAACAAATGCTTTGTAATATTTTCCCTTGTATGCTTTCACCTGACTGACATGTGAATTTACTGCACCGCACTGTTACTCAAATGCCTTCATAATGTTAATGATTATGAACATGTCAATAACAAAAAAGTATAGTGAAACACTTACCTAGCTTGTATCTGCCATGTCAAATTCTAGCATTTAGGTATTCTAGCAAGGTTTGGTTTTGTTTTTTAACCCAAAAGAAAATGATTCTTAATATGCCAGTATAACAGAAGTCTAGACTAAAAGAGTCATACATTCAAAGCCAGCTCACTCCATGAGGTGAGCAGTACCTCTTTCAAGCTGGTCAGAGCTTTATACAGTGCATCAGAAAAGAGATAATTAGAAGGAAGATGTGGTGCCCAGACTGTCTCATGGGAAGCCACAAAAATACATAATAGCAGTGATATCTGTAAAAGTTTACTCTAAACCTAACCAATTTCACTTAATGAATGCCTTTAGAAAATACAGAATTTATTTTTTCCAACCTTGCTATTTTAGTACTGTCATTTATGATTAGATGAAATTCTTTATAATTTACTTAAATATCATATGTGAAATTTTATCATATTATTATTTTGACATCTCCATATCCTTTTGTTTTGAATACATAAGATTAAATTATTTGATGTTCACATACACTATATGATCTTACATCATTCTCTGCATCTTTGTAAGATGAAACATTATGATTATGATAAACCTGCTTAAAACATAGATTTACATTCTCTAATGTGTTATGGACACTTACCATGACATCTACCATTTACTTATATTTCAAGTCAGCCATACAATATTGTGCACTGTAGGTACCATGCCGTATAGCAGAACCCTGGAGGCTGCTCTTGGTGATTGATATTTTATACAAATTATTTTACAATTAAAAAATTCTGATCATTTGAATGATATAAAGAACAGTATGCATTGAATCCTAAATTTCTTCACAAGATAAATTTATACAAAGTATATTAATATCAGAGTTTAAGTAACACACCTACATGTCATGATCTATTGCATATATTTATAAAGGATTCTTTTGTGATGTTTTCTTGACAGAAATTGTGTTACTTTATATATTCAGTTTTCCAAATGGTGGTATGCCATCACTATTAATGACACTCAAAAACTGAGTCCATATCACATTGTCTACAACAAACTTATGAATATATTGAATTGAATTTTTTGTACTCAAGCAGTGGGAGTTTAAAACAGGCACATGGACATGTTCAGAGAGAGAAGAAAAAAAAAGGTGGGAAAGAGTGTTTAGAAGGCATTTTCACTCAGAAATCATTGGACTTATATTTTCTTGTGATAGCAGAAAATAATCATTACAGGAATCTTAAATATTTTGATGGTAACAGGGCCAAGGTGAAAGTTATTGTAAATTGCATTGCTTTGAAATTAAATGCCTTGGAATTTGTACTGACCTCTTCAGGGACTGAGTTGAAGGTAAGTAGAGTATTACTGTGTACAAAGAAGAGGAGAATAGTCAGAGCTAGAAGGTCGCGCAGGCATCAGAAGTGCCAGGTTAAAAGAGACTGACAGTGCCCCGGGAGCTAATGAGCACCTTACCTTCTTGTGAAAAGGTTTTATTTTATATTTTACTTGCTATAGAGATCCTATGTATTAGAAATTCTTTTGGCGATTAAACTAAACATTTTCCTTAATATTCTAGTAGTGCTTTAAAGGTATCAGATGAAGGTTAGGGCTGTAACTCAGTTGGTAAACCACTTGCTGAGCAAACGTGAGGACATGAGTTCAGTCCCCAGAACCCTCAGAAAAGCCAGACATGGCAGTGCATGCTTGTCAGCACAGTGATGGGCAGGTCCAGGCTCACTGAGGCTCACTGGCCAGCTGTTCTAGCACATTCAATGGACACCAGGCCAAATGAAAGACTTGTCACAAGAAAATTAAGTTAGACACCATCTCATGAACACCATCCAGGTTGACCTCTGGCCTGCACACACATTTGGACCTGCAGGAGCATACACATGTGCACCCACAGGAGTGCACACACACACACACACATGCACACACACACACGTGTGTGCATTATAGTATTATTTTTAAATCCAAGCATGAGAAAATGTTGTTGAGCTAGAAATCAGTCCTTACTGACATGCTTATTGTGAGTATCGCATCTTGCCTTTGTTCTGTTTTATTCAAGTTATGGAGGTTTGCACTTTTGAAGAGAGAAGCTTATGTAAATGGTACCAGCCAATTCCAGAAAATTCACTTCACGGTTCAAATACGTTCAGTTGGGGACTCGGCAATGGGAACAGTATTCATTATGGAGAAGAAAACCACAGACCATCAGTAGATCACACAAAGTAAGTCCCACATATTTGAAACATGTCTTTTGGGAAACAGCACCCTTCCCTGTCTTATCCTATGCCAGTGTCATTGTACAGATGAATGTGTATGCTCATAAACAGTGCTCTGTGTATTCTTTCATACCACCTGAAAAGAATCAGTTTAAAAGTAGGCAGTAGGGCTAACAAGACAGCCCAGTGGATAAGAGTGCTTGTTGCCAAGCCTGATGATATATATTCATCCCCAGAATCATCATTCCTCATGGTGGAAGGAAAGAACCAACTCCTGTAAGTTGTTCTCTAACTTCCACAGACACAACATGGTATGCAAGCATACACACACACACACACACACACACACACACACACACACACATGCACACATTTAAAAAAATATGGCGCAGGCTTTTAATCCCAGCACTCTGGAGACAGAAGCAGGCAGATCTCTGTGAGTTCAAGGCCAGCCTGGTCTACATAGTGAGTTCCAGGACAGCTGGGGCTACAGGGAGACCCTGTCTCAAAAAGACCAAAAAATTTTTTATTTATTATTTTTATTTTATGTGTATGCATGTATTGCCTGCGTGTGGGTAAGTGCACTCGTGCCTGCGGGGTCAGAAGAGGCTGTCGGATCCCCTGGAACTGCAGTTACAGACAGTTGTTAGCTGCCATGTGGGTGCTAGGATTCGAACCTGGGTCTTCTGCAAGAACAACCAGTGTTCTTAACTGCTGAGCCATCTCTCTAAGGCTAAGGCTAACAACTAAAGCACACACATTTTTAAATAAGCAAGGAATGATCCTGTGTATGCCATAGAAACTAGACAAAGACGTGTGACAGTAAAACTATAGTGCAGTACTTTTAATATTACCTTTCCTTTAGAAGCATAAGATTTGTATTTGCATTGTCTTATTTTCCTTAGTTTTTACCTCAGGCCTTTAAGTAGTCTAGGCAAATCTCTGCCATTGAGATACCCCAGTATGAAAAGGACTGCCAGTATGTTACTTTAAAATAATAAAGAGACAGCTTGGTCAGTAGGCTGTGCCAGAAAGCAGAGATTTGCAGATCCTTGGGGCTTCCGGCCATGTGCACCTGTACATACACAAATACACATGCACCTGAACTCACCCAAGAAGAAAAATAAACTTTATCCCTCCCTCCCTTCTCTGAACCCTTGACCGTATCCGTCCATCCATTCTCCAGACCTTTGCCCTTTCTGTCTCAATTTTCCTCTCTCCCATTTCCCCCTTTTCTCTCCCCTTTCTCATTCTTTGTTTTATGAACACAGATATACAGGCTTTGTGCATAGAATTATGAGCATATTTTATGCACTTTGTGGTAAATCATGCCATTCAATATTATCTACAACTTAATTTGCAGTTTAGAGATATCCAGTAATTTATTGATCTGTTCCCAATTCCTGTAAATTTTATTTTCTCCAGTGATATTAGTTGCAAGAAAGTAAGAAAATATAACTTATACTGTGCAAAAAGTATTGCTTTTATGGGGATTAACAAGCAATCAAAATGTGATTCTAGTTTTCATTGGAAAGACCTCAGTAAGTCAATATTGGAAAGCACCGCACAGAGCTACAAAGAAAGTACAACCAAGACAGGGATCAGCAAGGGATTGCTCTAGTTTGGTTTCTGTTGCTGTGATAAACACCAGGACTAAAAACAACTTGGGAGAAAAGGGTTTGTCTCAGCTTAGAAATCCCAGGTCACACTTCAATGTGGAGGGAAGACAGGGTAGGAACTCAAGGCAGGAACCTGAAGCTAGGAGCTGAGGCAGAGACCATGGAGGAACACTGCTTATGAACTTGATCCTCTGCCCTGTGCTCATCCACCTGCCCAGGGATGGCACCACCAGAGTGGACTGGGTTCTCCCTCATCTCTCAACAATCAAGAAAATGCACCACAGACATGTCCACAGGGCAATCCATAGAGAAATTCCCCAATCGAGGTTCCCTCTTCCCAAACGTGTCAAGCTGAAAACTGATGCTATCCAGCTCAGTGACTGTTGGGAGCTTTCTGCATGGTGGCCAGATAGGAAGGACCTTGGCTGGCAGCACACAGGAGAAGTAGCATGCCTGGGCAGATAGTGCAATGCCCAGCTAGGTACCAAATGTAATTCTTTTACTGTATTCACTAGTAAGCCTTTTGTTCATTTTGTTTTCACTTGTAGAACTGTATGAATATTTTACACTTTGGATGTTTTATAGTTTATGGGTCAGTCATCTATTGTCATCTCCTACTTCTTAATTTCCTTTTTATTTTGTATATTATATTCTATGAATTAATTTTTCACAAAATGAATATATGTGCACAGTCAAAAATGTCAAAGAAAATTGATAACAGGATGACAATATATACACAAAGTGTGGAAACACTGAATCTTCTTTTATATTTTGTTTATTATTTTTATTTTATGTGTGTGAGTGTTATACCTGCATGTAGGTGAGTGCACCCGTGTGGTGCAATGCCCGCGGGTCAGATCCCCTGAACTGGAGTTATGGACAGTTGTTAGCTACCATGTGGGTGCTGGGATTTGAAGCTGAGTCTTTTGCAAGAACAGTTAGTGTTCTTAACCACTGGGCCATCTCTCCAGCCCCAACATGGAATCTTTTAAACATGAAAACTGGCTGCATATGGTAGGGGTTCTGGGTAAGAAAATAATCATAACAAAACCCACGATTGATGAAAGGAAATAACACCATCATGTATAACTTAGTTCAAAACAAAATTAATATTATTTTATTTAGGTATATACAGAATGAAATGTTAAATGTCAGAGATCATTAAAAATGTTTGATTATAAAAGAGTTTAAGGAACAAAAAATGAGAGAAATGTTCAGGTACTTGGAGTACTGGATTGTCAGTTAGTTGAAAATGAGTATTGTGCAGCATCTCTGAAGTCTGCATAGATGATATCTCAGATGAAATGGGCACATGTTAATCTCAAAGTTCATCTCCTTGAGTTTTGTAGCACAGGAGTAGGTTAGAAGTTCCTGGATACATACTTTTTCCTCCAGTCACGATGGAGTGTTTGATGTGATGTTCTTTTAGTTGGTGTTCTTTTGGAGACAGGGTCTCCCTGTAGCCCCAGCTGACCCAGAACTCACTATGTAGACCAGGATGGCCTTGAACTCACAGAAGTCTACTACCTCTGCCTGCGCCACCACGCCCAGCTTATTTTCTGATCTTTTATGTTTGTTGTTTGTTTTTATCCTTTGAAGAAGACTCTGTAACTGATTCTGAAATTTAGTAATTACTTTTCAAAGTTATTTTTTAACCCAGTTAGTACTTAAGAAAACCTTTTTTCCGTGTTGTTGTAAACAGAGAATCAAGAATTAATTTTCCTCAGTGGATTGAATTTTGAACTTTAAAATTTTTAACAACTCTTCTTCTCTTAGGCATAAAATCATTTTTAATCTAAAAGCAGCTTTTAAACCTTCCTTTGACAAAAATACACATAACCTTTTAATCTTCATTTTTAAAAAATCTTGATTGCTGTTATTTTTAAATAGAAAATAGTTTAAAAAGAATTTTAAGTGAAAATCCAAGAGGTTATATTTAAAATGTAGAAAATGTATATATAGTATCTTAAATATCTAATAGTAATAAACGCAAATAGAACATATTAATAGTCTTGTTATTTTTATAACAAGCACTTTGTAATTATTTTTGTTAAAAAAAATCACTTTTCATTAGGGTTTGAAGCATCCAGAAGTTAAAATTTTGGCATTTTCTACTTTATTTTTGAGACATCTGTTTACTTTTGTCATAATAATGTTAATTACTTAACAAGTACTTAGCTAAACTGTTTTTAAATTTTAAGGCATAGAGATGAGTAATTATCTCAAATATATTAGCATAATGTAACACATTGAGATTATCTACAAACGTTAAGATGTCTTTATAAGTCCAGAAGCAGATTTTTAAAATGATCAATTTTTTAAAAATTTTATTTATTATTTTTATTTTATGTGTATTCATGTATTGCCTGCATGTAGGTAAGCACACCCATGTCATGCAATGCCCGTGGAGGTCAGAAGAGGCTGTCAGATCCCCTAGAACTGGAGTTACGGACAGTTGTTAACTGCCATGTGGGTGCTGGGATTTGAACCCAGGTCTTCTGTAGGAACAACCAGTGTTTTTAACCACTGAGGCATCTCTCCAGCCCCAAATGACCAATTTTTTAAAAAAATGTTTGCAGTTGGTTTTATATAGACATGGACAAAGACAGACCTGACAAACCTATTTGTTGATTTTAAAGAAGCTGTAGTAGCCTTAATTTTTTTTTTTTTTATTTTTTTGACACAGGGGTCTCCCTGTAGCGCCAGCTGTTCTGGAACCTACTATGTATATCAGGCTGGCCTTGAACCCACAGAGATCTGCCTTCCTCTGCCTCCTAGGTGCTGCTGGGCTTAAAGGCATGCACCACCACTCCCAATGTATAGATAAATGTCCAGAGATAAGTGATCTTTCTTACTCCTTGAATAAAGAGTTTAGAACAATTATCCATAAGAGAAACTGCACCCTGGAGCAGAGTAATCATCAATTAAAATTAACTTATATCCTCAAGCAATAGGAACCATATTCTAGAACCAGAATTGAGACAAGGATCCAGGAGCTAACATCTTGACCAGAACTGTATAATTAAGTATATCTTGTCATTTTTTAAAAAAGATTAAAAAAAATATTTAAACTTAAAAACATATGTTAATTTTCTCAAAAAGATCTAGGATCATTAGCCACTATCACATGTTTCTCCAAACTGGTCACATTAATTTGATGTCTTCAATTGGTGTACAGGACAAGCTAACTTATTCTTTTGGGACTTTTTCCCTTAAAGTTTTACTTTTATTATTAGTCAAAAGGAAGCTGGGCTAATTTGACAATTCCAGTTTACATGAGCACTGATTTACAAGGCAACTTGATATCAATAACATTATTATTATTATTTTAAAAAATATAAGCACATAAACACTGCATGCACATAGAATCATACATGAGATAGAGTT